GCAATACCCACCAACCCTCAATGCCTGTAACATAAAATAAATATGAAAACCTTATTTTATGTAATTAAGCAACATGTGATAATTTAATCATCCTTGCAAAATCAGGTAGGTTAAAAGGAAAAATTATGTCATACCTCATACTTGCAAAAGTTTTCAGAGGTGAATTCCAGCAATACCTTCTGCTTACTTGGTTTGCAACCTGAAGCGGCCTTCAAACTAGTTCTTGTGCGGTACAAGATTCCTAAACTGGCTAAACATGGTTGTTAATACCACTAGTGGCTACGTGACATGGAATTTCAAATGAAGAACTTAACTTCAGAGAGTTCTGCTCCTGATAAGATTTTGTGCTGCTAGAACAAGAATTTGTGTCACTGTATAATTTATATTCAGGCCCACTCAGTCCAGAACTCAAACACATATTTGGCATCAGATCAATTTTATCTCTCTTATTAGTAACAGTTTTTTGCTGGCTTCCACAGGCATAATGCTCCATTGGTTCTTTCAGCAGATCAGCAGTATGCCCATCTGTGCCAGCAATAAGAACATCCCAAGGCAGGATAAGTGCTTCAGCAAACACGCTTGAACTGCTTGAAACAACTGGTTCACCTTGAAACTGAAAAATCATAAGAAAAAAGTTGAAGTCAGTTTAGCAGAATGCTAAAACTACGTACTTTTGCTCTTGGGGAAGTCATTTTTTTTTCGTTTTTTTCACCGTGAGGAGTGGGAGGATCTAGAGGGAGGTTGTTGGTATAGTAGCCACGTAAACATTACCTACAAAGGACACAAAGATAACAACAGCATACCTTTTGTTTCATAGGGTATTTATGTGTTACTAAAAGCAGGTGAAACTTTCCACTTTGAAGCCCATCAGAGTTTCCTTTATCCTTGATGCATGAATGTGAGAGACAATTTCTAGATTTAGCATCTCTAAAGTAGTAGAGAAGATAAATAGTTAGTTTTATCTCTCTCACTAATGGAGTACTTCTAAAGATATTTCTACACAAGAATGGTTCATTGAGGTGTAATCCCAAACGATCCGCTGGTTCAGGAATGCCTTCCATAACAAGAGTAAAATCATTCACCTGAAAAGGCAAAACAAAGTCAAGCCAAAGACTTCAATGATGTTCAAAATAATGTTTAGCATCCCATCAAATCCCAAACAGCAATTCAACAGGAATGCAGAAATATGTTAATTGAAGCATCACCTCGTATATAATGCTGGTACTCCATGCTGATGGTAGATCTGGTATAACGACATCAATGCTGCCAGTTGCATCAATCAATTGCAACCTTCCAGAATAGGGGGAAATCTGAAGAATGTGACGTAAACACGATCAGAACAAAAGAACTTAGTTATTTCTCCCAAGTTATCATGGGCCATGTGGCCAGATATCTCTCTAAAAGTGCCATCATAACCCAGTCATTTACCCAAGTTATGCCAGCCCTTAACTGCAAAAAGTAGTCTTCGCTTGCCCACATCTTCAATAAATTACAGGCTAAAAATGCGAAACATGCTGTCCTACTTTTCAAATCAATATGCAAACATGGTAAACAAATAAGAAAATGCATAGTCTCTAACTTGCCCATAAAGACAAAAATGTTTTTTGCATTGGCGGATAATTTGTATACAAGAGAAGACGTTCATAAAGAATGAAACAGAACTCAGATGGTAACCTTGAGCTGCCCAAGCAAAATTACACCCATTTCTTGACTCCGCAGAACCCTCCTCATTGACTGCTTATAAGATAATTCTTCACAAGATGGTAGGCAGTAGCTGTCATGAGGATATATGAAATCAGAATCAATCTCAAAACTCAACAGCATTTTCATCCATGTAGCCTCACAGTAGCTGAGAAAACTAGAGATAGGTACCACCTGGAAAAATCAAATAAGCACCAAACTCTATTATCAACTATCTTTTAAGCAGTCCCAGCTAACCACAAAATGTTAAACAAGCCCACCAAAAAAATTTTAAAAGAGAGAAGTAAAATAGACCGATACACAGGATCTTACCAATTTCAACTGACAATATTTTGGCTCATTGCCACAACCATGTGAGTCATGCTTACAGTATTCTCTTAACACTCCGTACTGTCAACAAGATAGTAAAAGTGGAAGACAAAATTAAAATAGAAATCAGGAATTTATTGTCACTTTACCAACAGCTAGTTTGCCAAAATTACCCGAGAACAATACACTGACGAAGTTAAATGTGAAGCAGCAAATATTTGGACCATTCCTTCCCTCTGGTAACACCTTGCAAAAGTCCAGATCAGCTTATCATAAAATTACATAACAGATAAAGGAAGGAAATAAAGAAAACAATATTATGAATATCAAAGAAAGTAAATTACATGTTTTGATCCCAAAATCTCCTTCTCATCTAAAATGCCAGAAAACTTTTTCCTTAAACTTGAAACAAGAAGTAATACCCTGGAACCAAATCACATGAAGCAGAGAAGTCAGTATAAAATAAAAAATGTGCAAGAACAGTCATTTAGCTGCATTAAATGTTGCCATACCATAGTCTCACAGAAAATGCCAATGAATCAATAAAATTGCCCAAAAGGCTCTGAGTTTTGGTATATACATAACACCTGCAGTATGCAACATTGATCTTAGCAAAGCCAGACAAAATTTATATGCCATGTATCTTTGCAAACTTGTATAGAAATAAAATCCCTAAGTCCTTACCCAGTTTCAAATGGCGAGAATGATTTCAAAATCATGCTAGTTTTGCAACAAGCACCAAGTACAAGTACTTTTGTCCAAGAAAATTTTGGATTCACAAAATGGACATTACTGACAGAAACCTGGGAAGGAAAAAGAATATCTGTAAGGAAATAATATTGCAACAAACCCCAGTAGCACATGAAGAACATAAACTAGCCATGTAAATATCTTATCAGTTTTATCCAAAGTACACTGAGAGCAATGAATTCAAACAAGCAAAGTTACATAGTATTTACAATGGCACCAATTCTGAGACTGTGCGGCAGGCTGAGTTGCTGATCTGTTAATAACAACAACACTTCTTGGTCCAACTCAACAACCATACCCTGCATGTAAATGCTGGTAATGGTGCCGGTATATATGCCATACTCACCCTTACCCGCAATTGAAACCTTACGAGCAGGAAGCTGTCTACTAAGAAATTGGGGAGATGCAGCAATGTTTTTTCTGTAGTCACATACATCAATTGAGACTCTTCCTTCCAATTAAAACCAACTTCTTCTTCAAACCCGACAGTGTAATAACATAGCCAATTAGCTTCGTAATCACAGGATGCCATGATGAAGCAGGCCCACAGAAGTACAAAATCAGAGGTTTGCAATAACAATGATTTTGCTGTCCTTCCATCCGAATTTGCAGAACCATTTTTAAGTTTATCATAGAACACAATTCGCATTCACAAATTAAAATCTGCGCAAGAAACCCGCAAATATATCTTGAACCAATGCTATTATCCCTACTATCACTCCTGGAACTACAAGCTTCCGCGGAAAACGGAACAATAGAAACAGGGCTAACTGACTCTAAAGCGCCGTGAACAAAGTACCGAGCCTTGGAGCTGTCCTCACAATCAGTGCAAGAACCCGAACCTAAAGGATACGCATTTGAATTCACAGCAAAGTGATCAACCCCATGGGTAGTTTCCGGAAGTCTCCAACTGATAATTTCTAGGAAACCGCCACCGGATTTAAAAGGAATGAAATTCCAAGCAATAACGTGAATCCTTCTCCCGATTATTCGAGCGTCGAGGTCGAGAACGTCGCAGCATACCGTCAACGAACCATCAGTAAATGAAAAGCAACTGGTTTGCGAGCAACGACAATTCCGCTCTGAAGTTGAAGTCTTGTCGTGAACAGGTAGGGTTAAGGTCCCCATGATGAGGGTTGGGTAAGTCAAAGGCTTTAGAATTCTGAGTTTAGGGCTTTGGCCGGGAGGCACAGGCTTCTCGGGACCGCAAGGCTTGCAGAGCTTATCATACTGCCTTCGTTCTGAAGAAGAACATGTTGAACGGCAGCGAGGAAGAGATGAGGCGCCGGTGACGGCTCGAGATAGTTGAACGAGTTCGGAAATAGTAAGAACTCTCAGTCCATCTTCCTCCATTATATCTTACGAATCCAAATCGAAACAAGCAGCACGTATATCCATAAATATACATACACAGAAAAACTCGATCTTGAGCGAGAAATAAAGAGCACAGGGAACACCAGTACACCGACACTGCTAGGAATGCAATGGCGAAAGTGACGCTGGAGTTGGCGGGAACGAGGTTCCACCAGACGATTACCAACAACAACACTAGTCCGGCTCATTTGATGGGGAGAAGAAAGGGTTTTGAGGCGCCCAATAATAGTAAAAGCCCAGTAAATAGCCCAATATAACTGATCACTTCAAGATGGGCTCACGGCGTGGAATGAACTCCTTTGGGCCGCGGCCCATTAACGTTCACAGGTTTTGTAAAACAAATAATTTTTCTCTTTTTCCATTTTATATTCTGTCGATTGGAGAGCAAGCGTTAGCAGAGTTGGAAGAATCCGTTTAGTTTTAAAATAAAGTTTCAAGTTTTTTAGTGAGTTTTTCATTAGTCTGATAAATTAGCTTTTATATGTTCGGTATTCACTTTTCTGTTATGACTTCACCCACAAGGGACACTTTCCTGCACCAGAAACAAAAAAATTCAATCTTCTCGTTTTCGTGGTCCACTTGTACGAGGCCATAACCCTAAACCCTAAAGATATGAAAATTTATACTCTTTATATCAATAATCGAATGTATTGTGGACTACTGGACGATGTCCGAGTATATGGGTATTATGTCTGCACATATACTACAACACAGTGTACACTCTGACACAATGAACTCAAATGATCGAGAATGCATTGACAAAAATCGAGGACTAAAGAAAAAAATATTGTTGGATTTACTACAGACAATAAAGGAATAAAAACAAATGACTTCACCAAATCCCACGCAACTTCCAGTCAGTCGGTTTAGACAGCAAATGCCTTCCCCATCTTGGAGGAGACAGCTTCAGAGCCAGGAGCTGTGATCAAGTTGCCATTATCAGACATATAAAAGTAGTTATAGTTAATTCTGGTGACCAAATCTGCCAAATGAGGAAAATGCCCCACATTGAGCTTGAAAGATAGAACCTGCACAAACATATAGAAAAAATTACATGTCTTAACATCAGTCAGCCCCATGCAAGTATACAGGTCTACCCATAAGCATGTTGGAATGAATGTTTGGCATCTGCTTTAGAATATCATTGTGAGAGGACTATGTAGGCTTGTGTTTTTAGGCATTTTATAACTTTCTGCTTATGTTTTGCAGTAAGTAATAAGTCTTTGTTTACCTTTCAAGAAAGAGGAAATCTAAACATACCTTTTAGTTTACAAGGTTTTTCAAAAACAAAAACAGAAAGTATAAATGTTATCAAACAAGCATGTAGAGTTCAGTATTTTATGAATCATTATGCATATTATGTAATTTCGGCACTTAAATTGGGTTGGTTTTGTAATGTATAAGATAGTAGGTGCAGGGGTGAATTAAAGATTACTCTGAGAAGGAAGGCAATGCAATCATCAAACTGTTTCTCTATCCGATCCACTTCCATTTCACATCTAGCCTTGATGACAGAAACTGCTCCACCACTAGTGAGCGTCTGCTGAACAGAATAGAAGTCTAAAGCTAGTCCAAGGATACTATTAATCCGGCTAGCTATCAGTGCCCACTGCAACCAAAGAAGATCATCAAAAAATGTTGAGCTCCCTTTTCAATTAGGAAGAAGTTCACACAACTATAAGTATTCACGAAAACTTAAAGACAGATTGTCACGAACCAGCTTATCTGGAACAACAAAGCATTGTCGTTGAATTGATAATAAGTAGGCCTCATGTACTTCTATGACTTCATCCAATGATGCTGCTGCAGCCATACCTTCACAGAGCTCACGCCATGCACTATGGTATACCTATGTAGCAAATAAGATGAAATATCAAGAGTGTACAGAAGCTGGAATCAAGTAAATAAAGTAAAGAAAGTGTTCATATTTCTCTATTCATTTTATCTACTATGGACATCCACAGCCTGTCAAAAGTTATTCATGCAGCCTGCAGTTCAGTAACACCAACAAAACATAAGTTTAGAAGAAGATACCAGTCTGCTTTACTATAGATTGGGAAATTATGAAAGCAATACAAGGCATGTAGCCAAAAGCAAAGATGCTAGAAATACATTTTGGTACCCATATTCAGATCTAACTTCCCACGTGTATATTTAAAATCAAGACATAGCTATGTGTTATAATCTTTAATTCATGAGGCATTATTTCTTACCCTCCACAAATTTAATTCAGAATATCTAGGAACTAGAATCTAGCTCCTTCACAATAAATCACAGGCCCAGTAACTTTTTGAGATCACCCAAGCCTCTCACCACATGAATACAGCACTTTGAGACTCTTGGTGAACTCCAATTTGAAGATCAGAGAGAGAGAAAGAAAGAGGTCATCCAAATTCTCAACCAATTTATCAAGTTAATATTTTTGGATATCAGTTCCAAGAAGATAATTACAAAAGTTTACTCAGTCTTATTTTCTTCTATATTATAAGCATATAAAATGAACATCACGTTGACTTGCAAATTAAACAATACAGTCTTTTTCTATAGGCATTGTGTAAGACATCTCTATACAAGCATGAGCTAAACACGAGTTCACATAGGATTCCAACAAGAGAAATGTAGACACAGAGCTCTGTTTAGTTTTAGGAGTTGTCAGATCCAACATTCTACTAAAAAACCACATCCTCCCCATAGTATCTTACCCTGTCCATCACATATTGATGAAAAGCATCCACAAAATGGAGAAGTTTTTGCTCCACTAACCAATGTTGCTTGTGACTAGTTGCTGCCCTGCCTCTACCCTAAAGAGCAAAACAGCGTAGTCAAGATTTCCAAAAATAGCAAGCTAAATCAGGAAAATCAAAACATAAAGCCAGGAAATGGCACTCTAACCTTCCACATCCACCTCCGAGCTTTATCAAGTACGTATTTGGCACGTCTAACCTTCAACAAGAAACTCATCACCTGGTATCAAAGGAGGAGCAAAAACGTTATACAACCAACAAAGTAGCAGAAGTTCAACTAAAAGTTCACAACTACATGAAAATAGCTACCTGGTTATATTTTTTAATTGCTTCTGTATTAGCAATAAGTTCAAGCGGCCATGACACCTGCAACATTTAACACACATGCACTTAAAAAGGTTTCAAGAGAAAGTAGAAATAGATTCAAAAATTAGAACAAAGCATTGTACAGTACACACTAACAAGAATTAGATATGAACTGAGACAAGAAAAGCATATTGGACCAAATAGTGCACCTTGTATGTGAAACTCAATGAATCAAGACCATCAATTCCATAGCTCTGCCCACGACTTTTATGAGGAGTAGAAACAAGGGAGGCTGCATTATGAGGTTCATCACTGTTTAAACCATGGTTTTTAGTGATTGACACGACCAAAGAATCCGGAGCACTCAGTAGAAGCCCATCAGCAGAGTTTGCAATTGATTCCTGAAGTTAAATGAGCACATGGTTCAATAATATATTCCAGACAGAAAGGAAACAGAAACCTTAAACACATATAATGGCACTGGCAATCTGATAGAACCTCAATCTTGAAAACTGAGAATTAATCAATTTCATAGCTAATCACACAATTACAGGATAAAGTTCAGGACATTCAAGAGGTCCTGATCTCTCCCTTCTAATTTCCTTACAAAAAAATTACCCCCCCCCCCCCTTTCTTCTCCCCTTCCTTCTATTTATTACCTCACCAACTAACAGAAAACCAACAATACAATAGAAAACCACCCTAACAGAAACTAAATACATCACAACTAACAATACAACCACAACTCTTAACCTGTACCCCATTCTTCTTTCTTCTACTATACACAATTTGTATAAGAGGTTTCCTAACACAATCATCTTTGCAACATAGCTGATATAGACACTGTCCAAAAACCCAAAGTTGATCTTATGGAATTTAAAAAAAAAAAATGATTTATTTATTTATTTATTTTGACCATGGCAAACTAATTCATTTATTGACCATTAATACTTTAACTATATCCTGTCGTCCAACCAAATAATGTGACTCTGATAGAGATTAACTCAAATAACTGTGATTCAGGATTTGCCAAATGAATCCTATGAGAGTTTGTTCCAGTTCAAAAATTCTATAGTTCTTCGGTCCATACAATGCACAAGTTTGATTCAGGATCAAATAGTGAAAGGGAGGAAGAACAGAACAGGAAGTAGAAAGACAAGACCTCCAGTTAACAAATGAAACACATAGCAAAAATGGAGAGAGAGAAGAAAGAAGTGTGTGTATATGTATATATAAACACACATAGATTGGATTGTTTGTGACCTCTGGTCCCCGCAAGGAGAAAACATGCACAGAGATATTGGATTCTTTGTGATATCTGGTTCCCCACAAGACTAGTCCTACCAGAAAATTAAGCCAAAGATTTGGCCCAAATAAAATGCTTTAAAGAACATAGGGCATTGACATGAGGAACAGCACCTGCAATATCAGGTTCAACTCAAAATCATCATCCCAGGTTTCTCCCTTATCCAGCTTGTCAAAAATTACAGTCAAAAAGTGTTGCAACAGATCACCTGGATGAGCAAGGTTGCAGTTATCATATTGGAAAAATGAGAATGTAAAATTAACAGGGAACCAGGAACATAAATTTTAAAAGATACCTGAACCTAACAGGTATATATCACGTAACACCCCCAGTTCATCCATCAGCCTCCATTCACAAAGTAACTTAGACAATATATTCCTCCCTATAAAATCAACCTGCATTTCATATATATGTAAAATGTTTTTGTTCATAAACAGCTTATAGGACACAACTGAATTTACACTAACACATATAAACCAACTACCTGCTTTTTGATGTAGACAATAAGGCATTCCTGTAGAATAACCACAGGAAGTGGAGTACCTTTTGGTTCAACATTTTGAATCCAACTAAAAACTTTTGATGGAAGGCTGCTATTTTTCTGGAGTGGTAAGAATTCAGACATATAACATTCCTCCTGTTTCATAATTTCAAATATGTTGGAAAACTAGGAGTTAGAAGCAAAGCTATGAAACTGCTGCACTAACTATAGTCCAACAATACCTGAAAAGAAGGAAGAAGGGTTGGAAATGGAAATAGTTCTTCTAACATTTTTGTGTCATCCATTGAATGAAGGTAATGAGATTCATCAAACTGAAAACCAAATGCATATTGTGTTCCTTTGGCTGCAATAGATGGTTCATCTTTCCCACCAAAAATTGCATTTCTTAGCCCTTCATCATTAAGAGGTGGAAGAAAGAAATTTTTTGACAATCTCAGGACACCCCATGCATCCTTATTCTCAGAAAGCAAGCTATGGCACACTGTGATGACAGGATTTTCCGAGAAGAATGATGTATATGAAGTGTTCTTTTCCATCTCGAGAAATTTGGTTTTGTTCTCGCATGAAAATTCTGAATCAAACTCTCTTTCTGTACATAGTTGTTCAACCAAAATCTTGTACCAAAACTTTTCTGAGCATTTTATTGCTGGCAAGTTCTTACTATTAATTTCTTCAAGTTTCTTTTTACCCATAAAAGGTTGAAACAAGGGGACATTTTTGAGGTTGAAGAGCTCATCTTGCCAACAGTATTCAGAAAGATGATCACCATTCCCAATAAGACCAGCTAATGATACACAGAAGACCTCTGACAAGGATAACCCAGCCATCCTCCTCCCATCACGAGTCTTGCTCAAATCCTTATCAGAGTTAGAACATCCAGAAGCAACCAATGACCGATCATCCCCTCTGCCATGTACCACAGAAACCATCATCGGAGAATGTTGGATAAGTTGCAATGATTTTCCAGCAGAAACAATAGATGTTGCTATTTCCTTAATAAACAAAGGACAGATTGGAATGTCTCTATTGTTCTGCTCTTTTCCTTTTACCGGGTTAGAGACAGAAATGGATTCTCTTCCGGTCATTTCCTTCTTATCATCCTCTAAATCTAGTTGATTAATAGCACTAGCAACATCAAGCTTTTGACATAGCATTTGTCTCAACAGATAGCTCTTCTCCCAAAAATCAGACTCATTGACAGAAATTGCTTTGTTGGCATAGAAAAACATCTGGAAGAAAGAGAATAAAGAAGTAAATAAGAAAGGACATAAAAACAAAAGAAATAAAAAAGAATTATACGAATAGAAGACCAATTTGTAAATGATACTAGCAATTTGAAAAGTAGGAGATGATTTCAGGGAATTTCAGAAATGTAGTTAAGCTCAGTGATTAAAGTCCTGAGAAAAGAAAAAAAATAGATCCTTGAAAAAACTCATATAGATAATAACTATGCACAGTTGAAGGTATCGGCATTCAAATTAGTAAAGTCAATAACAATCTAAAAGATAGAGATAAAGAGGTATATTTAGCCCCAAAAAGAAATTCTAAAAAAAATCCAAGTAAATAGCTTCAAATTCTGAGATATTGTTTAAAGTTTAAAGATTACCTCATCAAAAGGATCATCAAGCGATCCTTCAAAAAGCCAGGAATCAAGACCCTCAATATATGGCAACAGACTTCCAACAAATATATAAAGCAGCATCCGATATGCATCCTCCTGAAATAAACATCAGCACTACAGATAGTTCACTTTTAACTGAACCATGGAAGATTAGGAATAAACACACATATAGTCAGGGAAGTTTTACTACCTCACCACCATTTACAGGACAAATTTCATTGAGCTTCTTGTAAAGATGGTCAAGAATATGAACTGCTATTTCAGCAGCAGGAATGGAAGAACCTTGCTCAAAAAATACTTTAGGAATGGCTCCATGCACTATTTGAAATAGGTATTCTGCTCCTGAGCAAAGACTGGTACAAAATTAATGTAATCAGATATTTCAATGACAACAAAGTGAGGACAGGTTGAGATCTCCGTCTAAGTTTCCATTCCATATAATCATGAATAGAACCAGGGTTGGCAAACACAAAAGAAAAGAACTGAAGACCCCTAAATCAGCAACGTGAATAGCATATAACTCAAGAAGCAAGCATCTTCCATCTTAACTAGACAGCAGAATTGGGCCAGTATTAGAGAATAGATGTCTTTTAAAAGTAAAATATGATAGTACTTAATAGTGATGTTAGCTTCTGCCTGGATGGTCAAAGACGATTGCAATTATATTTTGAAATCTAAAAATCTTGCAAGCTAACCTGCACAAACCTGGATAAAGAATTCGCCAGGCCCAGGAGAGTTGCAGCATTCCTGCCATCAGACGTGCTTATTTTTACTTCCTCTTTCAATGCTATATCTCGTAATCTCTGCTCCCAAAGGAAACAAAAGAAAAAGTCAGCTTAGAACTCAGATCAACAAAAGAGAAAAAATAGAATGAAGACATACTGTGATAATAAAAAGTTCTCTCAGATATATACTTTGAGCCAAGCTGAAACTGAGCTTGTGAAAGCCCTCAAAGTAGGCAAAGGCAAGCTGACGGATATCTCTACTTTATTGACTACATTTTCAACCAGCTTCAGACATGTTGCAGCATACGAAAATTGATTGAGAATGCCATGAAGACTTGTTTGTGAAAGGTGGGATACATATATCCCACTTTTGACATGAAAACTCTGCCTAATATTGTCCCAGTAGAAAAGAGAACTGGATAAACCTTGTAATATGTGCAACACGCTTCGCACCTAAAACCAAAAAATAATAAGCAGAAAACAAAGATGTTGAAGTATATAAAACTGGCATCCCAATAATTTTAATGGTGACTCATTAAAGAAATAAGGGTACCAAGTCAATTTCATTTGTCCTCAAAGAGGAAACTGGGGCTGCAAAATGTACTCCACTGGAGAAGTTGTTGTAAATCTTACTGATTAAACCTTCAGAAGGTCCCATCTTTGTGCTTTGCACTGAATGAAGGGAATAAAACTATAAGAATATAAGGGAAATTCTCTCAAGGTTAAGGGGAACTCAAAGGAAACGGAAAATAATGTAATTGAAATCACATCAAAACATGACAAGAGGCAATGTCAAATGAACAACAAAACTAATTCATGTCAAAAACTTCTCTCCTACCAAGTAAAAGGCCAACCTGAAAACTCCAATCCATAATTTCCATTAGTCCTGAGAAATAAGTTTTTTTCCATCATGTTACAATAAATTGGAATCCAAGTAAACATGTTTGTAGCGAAGCCAACCCCATATAGTTGGTGACAGTTTGGTTTTAGTTATGTTACAACAGCTTTGACAAGCTCACTAAAAGAACAAGACTAACCAATAACAGTCCTTCCTCAATTTCATGAAAGGATCAACTAGGAGTCCACCCCAAGGGCTGCATGCCCCAAAAAAGATAGATCAGTATGAATAATCAATACCCTACACTTCAATGAGACTTTACTTGGACAGAATTATACCTTAAAGATAATAATGATAACAATATCCTAAAAATTTTCAAAGGGAAGGAACTATGAAATTTGTATATCTATTCCAGATATAAAAGTAGGGAACCTCACAGTATTTTTCAAACTGAATAACCTTGTTATTTTTGTAGATACCATTCATACATTATCAAACGTTTCCAATGGCATTGCCATTTCACCTAGAAAACCTCCAAAGATCAAGAAATTAAGATTCGCCTGAAATTTTTATCAAATCAACCACACCGCTTGAGAATTATCCATAGAATCTTAGCACTTCAAATGAGATTAGATTGGGAATTACCAGCAAAACTGTAATAGCCACTTCCAAAATTACCAAAGTTAAAACAAAAAAAAAAAGACAATTATTGTAAATCCATTTAAAAAAAAAGGGAATAGATTGCAAAAAGTCTAAGTTTTTTCACCTGAATGTCAGTGACTCACCCCATCTTCATTCCAACTCGCCCCGCCCAACTTGCAACTTGTCCAACTCGGCCTTACTGATCCCCGCTTTCAGGCCAATTTCGGAAATTACTAGAGCAAAGGATAGAGGAGGAAGTGAAATGTGATTAACTCACTTCATTGCAGAATTTACAGACGTATTTTGTTTTTCTTACAATTAAAATCGTCATGGCCATTTACGCTCACTTAAATAAAAAATTTACCGTACAACGTTAACCTTGAACATGAAACCAGTAATCCAGAACAACAAACATTGTCCACTCTTTGTACCCAAAAGTTATACATAGATATACACCCATTGGAATGAAGGACGAACAGACAAGGTTATCAAGAAACCTCACTCTGATCTAAACAGCTCGTAGGCTCCTCGGGCAAATTCTTGCAATCTTTCAGCAGCAATCTAAAGCCACGGCGTCGCCGACAATATATTGTGTATAAATTTGTATATGTACTGGTAAAAGATGCCGAGAGCCGAGAGGCACACGGTGTGGTGGACGCCAATGTCTTCGTCCCGATGGGAGCCACCGGCAAGGGTTTCGAGGGAATGTTTTCGGATATCATTGCCGTGATTGTCTTTAGATCCCTCCAATTTTGTTTAAACGATACTCATTTTTATTTATTCTCAAAAAAAAAAAAAAAGTCCGCTCATTCTACTCAAATTAACTAACATTAATTAACTTAAATGATATTAATTTAAAACATTAATTTTAATTTTTTGTTATCTATTATATAATAAAAATAAAATAATTTTTATCATGTAAAATTAAATTATTAGAGTTAAAAATTAACAAATTATTTCATTTATTAAAAATTTATTTTTAGAAAATTTTAATTTGTTATTTTTAAATTAGTTGATTTAATATAAAACAATTAAAAAAAATTAAAAAAAAAAACTTAACTTTTCAAAGATCTGATTCTACCGTTCTGTTAAAAAAGTTTGATTTTTAGATTAAAAATTAAAATCATAAATTTAAAAAAATACTTTATAAGTGAATCAAATACAATTTTAATTTTTAATCAAAATGAATAACTCACACAAATCAAATTAAATAATCAACTCTTCTTAGAATCAGTTTTTTATTTTTTTATTTTTAAATCAATTTCTTTAGGAATACCTAATAAAAAATTAAAAACTTTTTTAAGAAAAATGGTAAAATCAAATTTTTAATACGTTAAGTTTTAAATTTCTAAATTTTTTAATTTTTTATATAAGATCTAGCAACCTAACAATTGAAAATTTAGATATTTTCAAAAATAATTTTTTTAATAAGTAAAGCAACTTCTTAATTTTTTTAATATGCAATGAACAATTTAAATTTATATAATAAAAAATTATTTTATTTTTATAAAATATCATATATTTTATATAATATATAATTAAATTTAATATTTTAAATTAATATTATTCAGTATCAAGTGGATGGAAGTTGAATAAACCGTTAGCTAATTTGAGACAAAAGAGTGGAATGTTATTTTAAGATAAAAATGTGTATGAGTATAATTTAAGCAAATTAGAAAAAAAAAAATGAAGTGCTTTTTATGTGTGTCAAAGAATTTAAAAGGAAATTTAATACATATGTTATTTGAAAACACATGTAAATACTAATATATAATTTAAATATATATTTACTAAAACAAAAATTTGAAACATATTGCACATTTTTGATAATTTAAAAATAAAAATTTTCATGCGATATCTATTTTAAGTAATAATAAGTATAATAAAATTAAGGAGTACCATAACTTTAAAAAATTAATAATTTTTATTATATGATGAAAACTCATAAAATAATTTCTAAATGAATTTAAGGAAAACTTCAACAAATTCAAATAGAAATATATATATATATATATATGTGTGTGTGTGTGTGCGCGCGCGCGTGCGCGCACGCGCGTGTGTGTGTGTGTGTGTATAAATATATTTATATGTGTGTGTATCATTGTGAAGCTGTTAGAATAAAAGTAATAAAAATTCATAAATTTTATAAAAAAAATTAAAATAACTGGTTATATTTAATAACATGTGAAATAAATATTATTGAATTAAAAAATAAATAATATAATAAATATTTTCCAAATGCATTTTACGATAATATACCACTATTTGTTGAAAATTAATAATTCATAATTTATTCCATTAAGACAAAATAAAAATATTTGAGTGAAATAAACTTAAACATATTTTCAGTAGCCTAAAATAAAATATTTTTAATTAATTGAATGTAATAAAATATTTTCTTTTCACAACATTTAAATAAACTATTTTAAATTAAAGGATTGTGCCTGCAGTTATCAAAATTTTTGAATTGCAAAAGAATTTTAGAACTTTTAAAGAAGTTTAAAATCTCAAGATTTTGTGGGGCTTAGTCAAGTTTGAGTTAGGATTTTCTTCTTATTGCCATGTCACATATCTGGGGCTAATTCAATGCCACGTGGAACTACACGTGTCTAATTGACCCTAGTTTCTACCGTTAGCTGGATGGCCACAATAAATTAATTTTAAAATCCCGGTCACCCAATTGATTTTTTTTTTTAAAGTCATATGACAATTTAGCAATTGGAAAATTGGGTTCTTCGTCATTAAAAATGATTCACCTCATTGTAATTTTTTAATATTTTTTTTATAAAAAATATATGTTACACCCAAGAACTAAGCACATGATCAGTACTGAGACTATATCACCAATTTCAGTAAATCTCAAACAGAATAACATATATAATGCACAATTTAATATAAATAATAAAATTTATGCAATCAAAAAAATACCATCTAAAAACCAAATATAACAATTCTAAAATACAGATGATATAAACAACAAAAATTTGTACTTTAAAAGTAGCTCGACGAAACCTACGTACTCACTCAGAAAAGTAGTCAAAAAGACGAACTCACCCTATAAATTGAAAAATGTAAAGAAATGGATGAGTACGAAACTCAGTAAACGATAATATAAACTCTAGTTATAGTGGGACATACATAGTAAAATGAGTCAAACATATACATATAAGAAGACAATAAGCATAAGCACATATCTCTAAAAACTACACACATATATGCCTTACAATTTTGAAAATATATAGGAGTATTAAAGTATCAGAATATCATTTCATGACAAATCTTATCATGTTAGAGATATCCATATCATATGTCACATTACACATTAAGATCTCGTACTAAACCACAACCAAAACCAAAATTAGAGCATATGTCAAGCACATAATGCTCGAACACGATTGTGTTCGTTTGAAACCAAAACCAGAGCAACTCCTAACATATGATTATCAATAAAATACATGTATATAATAGAGGTATAATTTTATATCAAAATAAAGTATATAAGGAAAAGCTCATTGAAGATTTCAGAAAATCGAATATGTGTCTCAAAATTTAATTTTCAAAACCAATAACACGTATAATAATAGATAAATAATTATTAGAGTCAAAATACATGTAAAGTAAGTGTTATCATATGCAGTACAAAAGCAAGCCGAAACAAAAATCTTTGAATAATCTCAGCTATCAAAATGCGTCTCCTCGAGAGTACTTGTAATTACAATGATATAACATCAAAACCAAAGCCAAAACTCAAACTACTTAAAAACTGGGTTCCCTAAACCGGTATTCGGTTCCACTCCAAAACCTGGGTATATATTTTGAAGTTTATTATTTAACACGCAGATCTAAAATAAACCAAAACATAAACTAATCTTGTGTAAAAATCCTTAAATTAAAGTGAGCCAACATCAAATGTCCATGAACTGCCCTAAACCGAGCCTAAATACTCTTAAATAGAGCTGAACTAGTATCAAATGCCACAAAATCAAGCTACACCAACCTTATACACCCCTAAATCGAACTAAATTGGATCATAATCCTCCAGAATCAAATTGAACTAGACCAAAATCTTCCAAAATCGGACTGAACAGGACCAAAACTCTCCAAAATTGGACTGAATAGGGCCAAAATCCCTAAAACTAGATTGAACCAGGGCAAAACACTTTAGAACTAGATTGAACTGGCCTTAAACCTTATCAAAATGGCTTGAATCGGTCACAAAATCCCCTGAAACCGGCCTCTAAACCTTAGAACCAGATGGGTTCAATCACAAAATCACCAATACCAAGTTGAACCATTTGGTCTAACTCCCAAAACCAGTTTAGTCTGATGGAACCCAACTTGAAAAACCTAAAACTAGTCCAATCCCCCTTATCCAAATCAGATCAACCCCTAAATCGGTCAAGTTTACCTAATAGCATTCAATTGGCCCGATTGGACCAATATAGACTTAGATTCTATCCAGGTCTGTCTTATCTACTCGAAATCCAAAACAACCTGGAACCCCTGCAACTTTGACCCGACTTGCCAAAAACGAAATTAAATCCAGAATACAACTTACTTGAATCCAATTATTGGCTAAGGGTGGAAGAATCGACGCCTAAGAACCAATTATTGCAACACATTTTGTAGATTTTTGTAGATTTGAAGATCAAAACTGGTGATTTCCCATCTAACTTGTCATGGCCTTACTGGACTTCTTCAAAGAAATTCAAGCTACAAGAATTTCGAGAGTTGAAATTAGTGGAGGGAAAATGTATACAACCTATATATGCACGTCCCCATATATATTAATCTAAAAGTCAGCCACCCATTGGACTTGAATCATCTAGATCTTCCAATCAGTTGTTGAATAGAAGTTTTTTGGTTTTTTGAACTTGATACCCTAAATTTCTATTTCTTCCAAGTTCGCCTTGACTTGCTTTGATTTTGGTTCCTGATTTCTTGCGTTCTTTTATTTCATTCTCGCTTCTTTATTTCCATTCAATTTGACCCCCAAAAGTTTCAATTCAAGCCCCATATTTCCTGATTTCTTACTTATAGACTCCCAAATTCCTTAATTCATTTAATAACATCCTTTAAAATTTACAATTTTAATCCCCAAACCCCTAATTTGTGCAATCAAGCCCCTCTATTAAAATATTTGATTAACTTGTAAAAATAGGGCTATTACAATATAAAAGGATTTTCTTTTTGAAACCCCCCCCCCCCTCCCCAATAAAAAAAAAAGGATTTCTGAATATTCCACAAGGCAGCTTAAGAAGTACAACACATTTTTATACGTTCAACAGAGGAAGTCAAACTAGACAGGAGAAGAATGGAGAGCTGATCAAGCAGAAGTTCAGTTGGATAGGATTTCTACAGAAAAATAAAGGCCAAAAATTTGCAATATTTACAGTAAAGTCTGATCTTTTCTTTGAGTTGCATTTGCTCCCTTCTCTGTTTCATTGCTTTTACCTGTGAGTGTAAGATGGCGTGCTAGAGTCAGCCTGAAGTTTCAATAACATGGTTTCTATAGTCTGTAAGTATGGTTTCCCACGCAGCACCAGCAATGGTGTTGAGCTGTTTGCACAAATCCCGTGACAAAAGGCCTCCAAGAGAAGTTGATGAAACTCTCAGCTGTACAAGAGAGTTTGGTTTCCTTGGCCAAGCACTCATGGGAAACACGGAGTTTTGTTATAAAAGGACATCATACAAATTGGATTTCCCTTGTTAGGATGACTCATGGGTGGACCAATAAAATGTGGCTTGCAGTTGAAATCTAGTGAAGACATACTGGGAAGAGCATCCAGTGTAGAACAAGGAGAGTGCTGGGATGTTTTTGGGGAAGTTTCACTGAAGGAAAGAAAAAGAAGAATCTAATGTAAGCTCATGTGCAATCACTAGAAAGAGGAAAATTACTTTCTTAAAATTTTCTTTAAAAACATTGGGTCAACCGGCAACTAAACAATTTATAAACCCACCCGTTATATGGCAGTTGCCTTATCCTTGCACGTGGTGAGACAGGAACTGAATTCGAACCCCCCATATTTTGCCTCCTGTCCCTCCTGGGAGTGTGTGGGGTATCCTGAACAAGAAGATGTGAACATTAAAACATAGCAGAAAGAATAGTAAGCTTGGACTCTGCTATATGGCATGCATACGAGCACATTGTTGGGGGGGGGGGGGGGGGGGAAGTAAAAATAAAAATGAAAAGAGAGAAAATAAATCACCCATTTCCTCCATGGATACACGACCAATATAAACTAAAATTTGTCACTTACATTCAGTTTCATTTCCCGTATGCAAATTGGAAAATCTAGTTCATGTGAAGCTCGCAAGAAAGGATGCTCCAGTAGCAATTCTGCTGATGGTCGATCAGCAGGAATTCTCTGAAAGCACTGGCGAAGGAAATCCTTTCCTTCCAAAGATAACGTTTCTGGTATAGGTGGCAATTTGTGCAAAACATTGAACATGGCCTGTACCTGGTGAATGGATTAGAACAAGAAAAATGAAATGATGAAATCCCAAAAAGAAATCAACCAGTTCTTTTTTCTACAAATTTTGTTCAACCCGTAGCATTTCTGGATATTTGAAGGATGTTGGTTATAGGATTCAGACAAGCATTCTATTAAGCTCTTATACAGATTATTATAGCTAGTTTTTGATATAGTCAATAGTAATTCTATTTGATTTAACAGAAGAGTAGCAGCCTCAAAATACCAAGTCATTCACTTTTTTTTTTTTTTGTTATTTTCGAAAAAAATCTGATATAGTATTTATTCAACAGAATTGACATTGTTTCATGTCTACACCTAGCAATGATAAAACTCTGCTTTTCCTGCCCCCCCTCCAAGGCATTTCCCATATCACCTTTCACAACCACAAACTAAGCTTAATTTCAGTATATGAACCCCAGAGACTTTCAATAAACTAAACAGAAAACCATTAATCAGGACAACTGTGATGAACAATCCCTTACTGGTGCTGAACCTAAAACTAAAAATTGATGGTATAAAAGGTAAGCTTTGCAGCTGAATTTAGTAAGTTTGCTTGCTAAACGGCAAGGACAGCACATGGATTTACTAGTTTATACTACATAACAATAGGTAGAGTTTTAGAATGTATGCATAAGGTTTAAGGCAGCATTAATGATAAGCTTTGTAATTGTAAGTAGGATTTGAATGGAATCATGTAATTCCCAAGAAGCTCCAAAGCTGTAGAATCTTTCCTAAGAAATTAGTCATATGGAATTGAACCTTGCTTTGCATCAAAATTAGAATTAGGACTAGAACTTCTAAGTAGGAAACAGAAATTCAACTATAAAACCTGATCTATGAGATTTCCACAAAACTCAATTGCATAACTTAACCATTATAACCCATTACCAAGAGTATTATAAATTGTCAAAATATCCCATCTCTCAAAATGCTAGAAACATAGAGGAGATAGAATGGACAAATACCTCACCTATAAGATTCTACTAAGATCAGGAATATGATAATGGATGGTTCTACAGGTCCCATCCATTTGACATCAAGGCAGCTCACCATTTTGATTTCTTTGTTAGATTTACCTTTTCCTGCTCCTCTCGCTGACTGCATAACCATTGCGAGGAGCCAGAACTTAAGTTGTCTAAGTCATCCAAATTTAATTTCCCGCTGGGTCTTGAATACATGATTTGGAACATCAAAAATCGTTCAGGAATCCTAATACTGCATAAATCCTAGTTCGGAAAACTATTGAAGCAGATGAAAGGGAGATGAAATATGATATTTGGGATAAATTCATATTAGAAAACCGCAAAAACCAAATAACTCTGGAATTTTCTTTAACTAAATGAAGGAGTGCCTGCAATAAGAACATTATTTGATGCAAAGGAACATCGGATACCAATTGATTCTCAATGCCCAAAAACCGAGGCTCCTTTAAACCTTACTTGCCTGCTCTGAGACATAATAGTTCCATCCAGTTTAGTTATCTCAAATAGGCCTTCATTCTAAAGAAAGAAAAGTGCTAGTGGGTTTGTTAAAAAATGATTTTTGTCCATCATTCTGTAGAAAGCTCATACGACTCAGATGACAGACTGAAAAGGTAACTGGAAACAGTGGAATTCTAGAGAAACTCAAAGTAGTGGGGGTAAGACATGGTAGGCTATATCATGTGCTTACCCCATTTAATTCATTCCAAGGTGGTCTTCCAGTCAGCATCTCGATAACAGTACACCCCAGGCTCCAAATGTCAACAGCACAAGCAAGCCGAGGATTGGAATCTTTCCTCATAACAGCCTGCAAAACCTGCCAGAGAAAAACCTGTGTCAAATATGAGTACGAGCCACCTATAAATCACAATCAAATGAAATGTGCTATACCTCTGGAGCCATCCAATGTGGACTGCCCTTCAGAGAAAGATCATTGGCACATCCTGCAAGCTGAGGACATGAAAAGCAGAAACATTAATACAGAAAGGGAAATGGAAGACATGTATTCACAATAGCGCACACAGTAGTATTAAAAAAAACAAAGAACAATGGGAAAAAAGCAAAATTAGAAGAAGAATAGAGAGCAATTGTTCAAAAACTTTTACAGTCAATCCTCATTATGTATATTTCTGGGTTCAGAGGACCTTCTGTTGATGGTATCTAGTGCTGACTATTGCTATGGCCGTTTGGATTACCCCACTATTTGTGTTAGAAAATCTACAAGTCATGTTGGTATAAACTCACTCTATCCTTCAAGAGCTCGTAGATCTTTTGCACCATTTATCCATTATTCCTACCTATTTGAATATAGCATTTATAATAACATACTTGTATATAATTGCCACTTGCCAGCAGTATCATGTACTTGACACATCAAGTTTCTAATATATTGTTTTGCAATAATACATATTCTTTTTGGCCCCAACTAGATATCAAAATATGAGAAGAAACATGTATACACAACCTTTAGGTTTTAGGACTTTTTGCATAATTGGATACTCTTAATTGGGGAAGCATAATATTTCTGTTACAATGTTTTATTTAGACTTAGAAGTTTGTCAATGAGCCCAGAATTTTAAAATGAAAACTAAGACAGGAAACCTATCAAAAACCACGCATCAGATATGAAGAATATTGACAGAACACCAATAGTCATTCCTAGTGGTTAACACGTGTAGTACCTCCTGTGGCTCTGCCATCCTTAAGTGCTCATGTCCATAAAGGAGCTCAAATTGATGTTTCAGACTTCGTTTCAAGATATACAACAATATGTTTAGTGGGGAAAAGAGGCACGTGGAAAAGCTAGCATGATGCAGCAGCAATAATTTTAATAATATGTTTTTTTTTTTTTTTTATTTTACTTTATTTTATTTTGACTTAGATGTTATTTTTATTTGTAATACGTGATCACATGACTAGCATGTGACTTTTTAATGAGATTTAGACTTGAGACTAGTTGGGCCTTGAAATAATGGGCTAGGTTTAATAATGGGCTAGGGTTAGTGGTATGCTAATAACCCTAGTTTAAATAATTTTAGGGATCTGTACTCAGCAACTTTTTAGTCATTTATGAGAATTTCAGATTTGAGAGGTTTCTAAACCCTAAAATCCTTCTCTTATCGTTCCACTTCAATCCATCCTACTTCTCTTCTCAAATTCTATTGCTTCAGTTGTTGTCTACCATTTTTACTGCATCAAATTGATATTAGAGCCATGGCTGGACGTGGAAGAGGCAAAGGTGGTAGAGGTAATTAAGGGCAGCAAGAAGAATTGATAGAGTTGACGTGAATGATTGAAGATTTGTCACGAGTAGTACTTAATCTACAGCGACAGGAACCAGTGGGAGCCCGTATGGAGAATCCGGAAGGCAACCATTACCTTGCGGACATTCCGGAAGGTGGTCTGGAGGATGACAATGAAGATGGAGAAGAAGAAAACCCTTTTCACACAACAGAATCTGCAGATCAGGGGCCACAAAGGAGATTGGAGGAGCGGCTACTACAAGCCCTAGATTTAAACGGTGGTGGAATCAGAATTGAAGTTGTTGACTTTTATGGGAAAATGCATGCTGAAGATTATTTAGATTGGGAGGCTAGTTTGGAGAATTATTTTGAGTGGAAACCAATGGCAGAAACTAGAAAGGTGTTGTTTGTGACACTTAAATTAAAGGGGACTGCACTTCAATGGTGGAAGAGAGTTGAAGAGCAGCAAGCATGGCAGGGAAAAGCAAAAATCAGCACATGGGATCACATGAAAGCAAAAATGAGGAAACAATTTCTGCTTGCTGATTATGCAATGGAGCTATATGAGAGATTCCACTCTTTGAAGAAAAACAATAAGACTGTAGAAGAGTACACTACAGAATTTAATAATTTATCTATAAGGGTTGGCTTGAATGAAACAAATGAACAGGTGATAGCCAGATATCTTGCTAGTCTGAACCAATCTATTAGGGATGAGATGGGAGTAGTTCATCTCTTTAACCTTGAAGATGGTCGACAATATGCCTTAATGGCAGAAAAATGGGTATTAAGTTATGGTGCTAGGGGGTCAATGTTTGGCAGACTGGTGGCAGTTCACAAAGTGCTTGTGATATTGTTCGAGGAGCTAGGAGTGATCAAACAACCCTAAGAAGTGGATGAGGGGGTGGGCCACATGGCACAAAAACTGGAGGGAGTGTGACTCAGTTTGAAAGAAATGAAAAGGAAAAGAATGTTGTCAGATTTGGACAGTAAAACAGTGCTAGATCAGGTGCTCCAAAATTAGGCGGCGGGTCACAGATTCGTTGTTTCACTTGTAGTGAAAGATGACATAGTTCTTATGCATGCCCACATAGGAGAATTAACCTCGTTGACAAGGAAGTAAAAGACGAAGCACTAGAACCTATTTATGATGATAATGTTGATAAGGATGGTGAAGTAGATATTTATCTAGCTGTAGGGGAGTCTTTGGTTGTTCACAGAATGATGACAACCACAATTTTAGATGAAGAAGAGGACTAGAGGCGACACAACATTTTTAGGACTCGTGTCCTAGGCAAGGTTTGCAACTTGATTATTGACGGAGGCAGCATGGAAAATGTTATTTTTAAGGATGCAGTGGAGAAATTGAAGCTGCAAACTAAAAAACACCCCCATCCCTACAAGATCAAGTGGCTTAAAAAAGGTAATGAAGTTTCGGTTACGTCAAGGTGTCTTGTCAAGTTTGTCATGGGTCATAACTTAGAAGATGAAGCTCTTTGTGACATTATGCTTACGGATATTGGCCACATTCTTTTAGGTAGACCTTGGTTATATGATAATGATGTGGAACATCATGCTAAACCTAATACCTATTCATTTTATAGAGGGAACAAGAAGTATACAGTCCATCCCTCAAGGAAGACTTGGCTGAAGCTTCTCATCCTCCTAAGAGCGGCAAAATCAAGGGAGTTTTTTCTGCTGCAAAATTTGAGGAAGATAGTAAGGAAATGGGAGTCATGTATGCTTTGGTTAACAAGGTTGTACAGGCTGGCTAAGTCAAAGATTTAGATAAGCATCCAGCTGAAATTCAGCAATTATTGGAAAAATTTGCAGAACTGGTTGGTGATGAATTACCACCAAAAAGAAACATCCAACATGCTATTGACTTGGTACCAGGAGCAAGCTTAGCGAATATGCCAGCCTACAGGATGCCGCCTGCACAACGAAAAGAGATACAAAAACAAGTGGAGGAGTTGTTGAATAAAGGTCTAATACATGAAAGCAGAAGTCCATGCACTTGTCAAGCTCGACTTGCTCCAAAAAAAGACGGTACTTGGAGAATGTGTGTGGACAACCGAGCTATCAATAAGATCAGGATTAAGTATTGTTTTCCAATTCCTCGATTGGAAGAAATGCTTGATCAACTAGCTGGTGCAAAGGTATTTTCAAAGATTGATCTAAGAAGTGGTTATCATCAAATCAGATTGAGGGAAGGAGACGAACGGAAGACTGCTTTTAAAACACCAGATGGGCTATACGAGTATTTGGTGATGGCCTTTGGCCTGTCCAATGCCCCAAGCACAATCATGTGGGTTATGTCTGAGGTATTGAAGCCTTTTTTGAAGTCATTTGTTATTGTTTATTTTGATGATATTTTGGCTTATAGTAGGATCAAGGAAGAACATTTAATTCATCTATGTAAGGTGTTAGAAACACTGCAAAGTGAAAGGCTCTTTATAAACCCAATAAAGTGCTCCTTATTGAGCTATGAAGTGGTGTTTCTAGGTTTTATTGTTTCAGCTCAGGGACTGAAACCAGATCCAGGAAAAGTATGTGCTATTAAAGAGTGGCCAGTTCCTCAAACAATCAAAGATATTCGAAACTTCCACGGTCTAGCTTCATTTTACAGGAGGTTCATCAAGAATTTCAGCTCTATTATGAGCCCGATTACTGAATGCTTAAAGAGCAATAACTTTACTTGGACAAAATCTGCACAAAGACCCTTTGAACATGTTAAAACTCTTATGACAGACACACCAGTACTTGTGCTGCCAGACTTCGACAAGTTGTTTGTTGTAGAGTGTGATGCATCACATTTGGGCATTGGGGCAGTACTCAGTCAAGAAGGAAGACCAGTAGAGCTTTTTAGTGAAACGTTGTCTGATTCTAAGTGTAAGTATTCGACTTATGACCTGGAGTTTTATGCATTAGTGCAGGCTATTCAACATTGGGAGCACTACCTAGCTTACAGGGAGTTTGTTGTTTATTTTGACCACCAAGCTTTGTGCTATTTGAGTTCTAAGAAGAAGCTTAGTGATCGTCATGTTAAGTGAGTTCTTTTCTTGATGAGTTCAACTTTATAATCAAATACAAAACTGGAGAATCCAATGTGGTGGCTGATGCATTAAGTAGGTGCTCTATTCTCTTGGTCGTGATGAGCACTCAAGTTACAAGGTTTGAAGAAGTGAAAAATCATTACAAAACTGATTCTTATTTATGTCATATAGTGGAAGAATTGCAAAGGTCAGCTGGTGCAAAAAAATTACCTTTCCGATTACATGATGGATATTTATTTAAAAGTAACAAACTATGCATTCCAGAGGGATCTTTACGAGAGCAAATCCATGGGAATGGTTTGGAATGACATTTTGGTAGGGATAAAACCATGGAAATTGTGGCAGATCGCTATTATTGGCCTAAGATGTTTAAGGATGTGAATAGATTAGTGAAAAGGTGTTCAACTTGTCAATTTGGCAAGGGGAAACTCACAAAATACAGGGTTATATAACCCATTGCCTAAACCAAAAGTGCCCTGGATTCATTTGAGCATGGATTTTGCCTTGGGTCTTCCAAAGACATCAAAGGGGCATGACTCCATTTTTGTTGTGGTGGATCAATTTTCAAAGATGGCACACTTCATTCCATACTCTAAAATTGCTGATACTTCTCATATTGCTGAGTTATTCTTTCGTAAAGTGGTAAGACTACATGGTGTTCCTACTTTTATTGTTTCCAATAGGGATGTCAAATTCATGGGGCATTTTTGGAGATCTTTGTGGAGGAAACTTGGGACTCAGTTGAAGTATTCTAGTGCTTGCCATCCACAAATTGATGGTCAAACAGAAATAGTAAATCGAAGCTTGGGAAATTTGTTACAGTGTCTTGTTGAAAAGCATGTAAAGTCTTGGGAATTTGTTATACCACAAGCAGAATTTGCTTACAACAATTCGGTGAATCAGACCATAAAAAAGACTCCATTTGAAGCTGCATATGGTTTAAAGCCACAACATGTGCTTGATTTAGTACCATTACCACCAGAAGCTAGAGTAAGTGATGATAGATTGACATTTGCTGAGCATATCCAACAAGTTCATAAAGAGGTTCAAGAAGCTTTAAAGATAAGCAATGAGGCCTATGTAGCTGCTGCAAACCAGCATCGTTGAGCTTAAGAATTTAAAAAGGGTGATATGGTTCTTATGCATTTAAGGCAGGAACGTGTTTATCATAAGTTGAAACCTAAAAAGTTTGGGCCATGTAAAGTTTTGAAGAAAATTAGCCCTAATGCCTACCTAATTGAGTTACCTCTTGAATTACAAATCAGTCCTGTTTTGAATGCAGCAGATTTATACCATTTTCAAGGGTTTGATGGGGAAGTAACTCATATTACAGATCAAGTTGGTAGTTTACCTACAGTACAACAAGGAGTCATCCAGGAAGTTCTTGATGTGGGAGAGGTGAACTCAACGCGTGGACACCAACTTCGGCGAATTTTTTTTTAAATGGCTGGGTAAGCCTACCACTGAAAGTACTTGGGTGACAGAAAATGAATTGCAGTAGATTGATCCTAAAATACATGCCAAAATTTCTAAGGTTTTCACTTCAGATATTGGTTTTCTTTCAAGAGGGGGAGAATGATGTAGCAGCAATAATTTTAATAATCTGTTTTTTTTTTTTTTTTAGTTTATTTTATTTTGACTTAGATGTTATTTTTATTTGTAATAAGTGATCACATGACTAGCATGTGACTTTTTAATAAGATTTAGACTTGATACTAGTTGGGTCTTGAAATAATGGGCTAGGTTTAATAATGGGCTAGGGTTAATAGTATGCTAATAACCCAAATTTAAATAACTTTAAGGATTTGTACTCAGTAGCTTTTTAGTCATTTATGAGAATTTCAGATCTGAGAGGTTTCTAAACTCTAGAATTCTTCTCTTATCATTCCACTTCAATCCATCCTACTTCTCTTCTCAAATTCTATTGCTTCAGTTGCTGTCTACCATTTTTACGGCATCATAGCATCCATGCCAAAATTTATAGCCCTGGAGATTGTTAAGGAAAAACATAAAACTATGCATTAACAAATTTTAGTAGAGGCTGAGAGAATATAAAGCTCACATGTTTTGCCAACCCAAAATCAGCCAGCTTGACAATGCCAGATGCATCAACGAGCAAATTTGCCCCTTTAATATCCCTATTTAAAACAATCATTTAAGGCATCAAGACTAAGGAATCAATACAAACTGTCAAATTTATGTAGTCACCATGAATTCTTCAGATATTTACCATAATGTAATTCACAGAACCACTAAAAAAAATAGAAGAAAAACAATATTTGCATGGTCTACAGAGAAACAACTCCTGGAAATTCGTAGGACGGTAACATGATTGTTCAAATGATGGTAGAGACAAAGAACTCATTATTTACAAGCTATGCTTAACCATTCTAATGAAGCATAACAGTTACCTATGAATCGTTTTCGTGCTATGTAAATAAGCCAGCCCCGAGACAATATGGCGGGTAAAATTACGAACTATAGATTCTGTGATAGCCCCATAACGTTCACGAACAAATTTATTTATTGATCCGGGATGAATGTATTCCAGATATATGCAAAAGTGATCCTCAACCTAGACAAGAAATCATTATTGAGCAAAATCATCATATTTGTGCTCAGTTAAATGTGTCCACTAGACACGATAAGAAACGTAAAGAATCTCACCACTTCGCAGCCGTAATACTGCACGATATTTGGGTGCTTTAAATGCTGGAGAACTTTCATTTCCTAAAACAAAGGAGAAGCAAGAAAACAACAATTAAGCTTATCAAAAAACAAGCAACATCAATATATTCTACAGAAGGTTGTGCCTTCCATATATCACTGTATATTATTTAGGATATTCTTCCTGTACATTATTAGATTAACAATATGAAACAAAAGATGCACATCATTAGATCCATAATATTTTGCAGCAATCAGGATAAAGTTCATTCCTCACTACAGGTAATTTATTTCCCAACAAAACATGATGTATTTGATGCATGGTTAACTCTACATACAATGGAGATTCACAAACACGATGTTAAAGGTGGACATGAAGATACAACATATTTCTACAAAACTCATCTCATATAACCCAGAAAGTAGTTACCTGCTCCAATTGTTTAATACATTCTACAGATTTAGGGTCCTCCCAGATAAGATCAACTTCTTTCATTGCACATAAAGCTCCAGTTTCACTAGTTAAAGAGTACATAAATAAATAAATAAATTATAGAAGTAATGTCCATTGCAGCGAAAACAACTAAACTAACAAAAGAAAAGACACTTAATGGTGCGTGCATACCAATTGATTGCCTCATAGACACTGCCATAAGTACCACGTCCAATGAGTTTTCCTTTCCACCATTTACTTTTCATTGATGAAACATTTTGTTTTTCCGTAACATGGCAGGTCATAGTTGATTGTGATGGCTTCAGACCTCCTGGTGGACGAGGTAATGGGTGGAGATTGGCATGACTACTACCTTCAGGCCGTCCAACAGAGCTTTCAGGGAGTGACATAAGTTGGCAATGAAACGTAGAACTGGTAAGATTTTTTTGAGAAGCATTTTGTAATTTTGGGCTGTGAAGTGGAGAATGATCAGGGGTCCATGCATGTCTTCCTGGAGACACTTGGCAAGGAGAACCAAATTGCTTGTCAGAAGCTGGAATCTCCAGAGTAGACGAAACCTGTGCTTCTTGAGGAATCATAAAAGAGGAATGAAAATGATCTACGGTTCTAAACCGTTGTGGGCTAAGAGCAGGACTAGAGGGACCACTGGTTGGAGCACTTCGGGGAGGAACATTCAGCCTGAAATTGCAAGGAGCACTTTTGACATGTAAATTCAGAGGAATCCCCTCCGGAGATATGTTGGAGATCTGGATGATTTCATGGAAACTTGATATGTAGTTCTGATGCTTTGATTAGAAAAGTAGCTGCAGAATCCAAATATACCAATTAAATTCATTGCATAAATTGCTTCTTATTTTGAACTAGAAGGCATATATACACACTAGAAAAAATAACGTAGTAAAATGAGAAGACCCCATGGGATAACATCCTGCACACTAATGTTGGACTTAATGAATAACATCTGAAGTGAGATAATGAAGAAATGAGCAACAACTCATAATGGATTTGCCTATGATCTCTGATTTAACAAACTCATCGCACTGCAGTTCTTTTTTATATTTCAGTGACATATGGAATATTCGTTATTTAGTAATCAGCACACTATTTACAGAAATCTTATGCCTTAAAAGAATCGTCCAAAACCACCTTGTTTTTATTTTTTATTTTTTTGGGTGTGGGTGGATGGATTTTTAAGTGATTCCATTCCAACATGTTGCAACATGCAGAAAGAAAGCACTTCATCCTTGTGTACGTAAGGATCCAATTTTGTAGGAAGAGGAGAATGATAGTAAATACGAAAAACGTGTAAATTAAGAAGATAATGAAATTTCTGATTATTTCTCTTGATTAGAAAATGTTAATAATTAAAATCACCTCGAATAACCAAAATTTTGAAATAATCAAACAATTAGAATGCGCACTTATGTTAGTTTACCTTTCTATTCAGTTCAAAGACGCAAAAACACAAGCAGCTGATGCCAAGTTCTGTCCCTGATTTAAGCAACCCTCAATAAAATTTTACAAGATAAAAAGACAAGTATTTATTCATGTATATTGCATGATCGGATCAAAACAATTCCCCTTGTTTAGCTATCGTGTATAATCCAGGAACACAATACCTCGCAGGTGCAGAGGTTGACAGGTTCGCGCCATCTGCCCCTCCCCTCCCCTCTTCTTTTAACAACTGCGAGTTCGTCCGATCACTCTGTTGCTTAATGGGCGTATTCAGCTCCGGCGATGGCAACGGGTAAGCCACTGCCGGCGTAGATATCGTTGACCAAGTTCCCAAATTAGACCGGGTCGGGGACCGCGACCCGGACTCCGGCGAAACCGGCAGAGAACCCGACGGTTCAACCTGCCACAGACCCAGCTCGGCGTCGGTCGCGTGCCGGAGCTTGCGCTGCCGCGTAAGCCGCCTCTCTGACCCGTGTCCTCTCCTGGTACAGAAGAAATTAGTATCGCTAGAAGCCTGTTTCAAAGGAGAATCACATGGAGACGACGGGTACGGGGAAGAGTGCGAGGACGAAGTTGGGGAAGACGAGAACAATTTCCTGAGAGCTGGCATTTCAGTTGTCGTCGGCCCAGCGAATTACCGCTGCTCAGACTCTATAGTGCCCGTTAAAAATTCGACGTTTTGACTGAGTAAGAACATCGCGTAAAACGCTAATTAAATTTTGGAGTCAATTATGGGTTAAGGCTCGGCAGCGGAGGCTAACTCTAGCCGTTGATCGGCCATCGAAGAACTGGGGAGTCTTTCTGTGCACGCACTCCACGACAATTTTTTTTTCAATGGTTGAACTGGAAGTTTTAAGGAATTCACATTGTTCCAAATACGAAGTTGTCTGGAACACGACATCGCCGCTCGGTCCCTCCTGCAAAGGTCAATGCCCGTAACGAGATATTAGTTTACAAACGGGGTGAGGTCGGCTGATGTCAACATATTTTTAAGTATTTATCATTTACAAATATATTAAAAGCTCAAATTTTATTCATTTTAATCTATAAATTTTTACTATAATATTCGGTCATTTCATTTGAATTGGTGGTGAAAATTAAAAATGAAAAAATGCAAACAGATATATAAATTTTTAATGAAAAATTATAAATTAAAAAAATATGACAATAGAGTTAGAGTTAAAAATATTAAATGATAAATAATATTCTACTCTCCAAAAAAATTTAAATTATAGTATTATACCTCTCACAAATATATAAAAAAAAATTTTCTTACAAATATTAAATTTATAACAATTTACTCTTAATTAACATTTTAATAAAAATATTTATCAAAAATTCTATATTTAAAGGATATAAATACTTTTTGTATATATAAATATGACTAATCTTTCTTATGCTTCAACCATCTATAGTCAATATCTATGCTTACAAATATACTTATACTATTTACAAATAATTTTTATTAATATTTTATAAAATATTAAGCGAGGAATACAAATATTATAAATTTAATATTTATAAAATGAATATTTATTTTATGTGTTATAAAGAGTATAGTGTTAAAATTTAATTTGTTTAGAAAAAAATGCTAGTGGTCAAATATTGAATAAAAATAAAATAAAATAATTTAATAATGTAATATTTAATATCTTATTAAATATAAAACCAAAAAATAAAGAACATGGAGACTATTTTCGTATTACATGGAGATGCAATTGCTATGGAACTGGATAATGAACACAGATTACGCAATGCACTTGGTTAGAGGCCGGGGAGACAATGTGATCCTCGACCAACCTTTTGCATCATTTTCCACAATCAAATTATATCACACGTCATGCTAAAATCAATCATTTAAATTTATAATTTATTGCCTGTTATTTTTACTTTTAAATTATATTTTTGAACTATAAAATAAAATATAATATTTTTTAACAATTTGTGAAAATAAAAAATAAAAAATAAAATTATATTTGTACGATTATTTTTGTAATTTAATAAAATTAACCCAATTTGGTAGCTTTCTAAATAACAAATTTGTTCTATCAATAATATTTATCATTAGTTGTAATTTTTCTAATGAATTATATTTTTGAGCTATAAAATAAAATATAATATTTTTTAACAATTTTGTGAAAATATAAAATAAAAAATGAAATTATATTTGTGCGATTATTTTTGTAATTTAATAAAATTAACCCAATTCGGTAGCTTTCTAAATAACAAATTTGTTCTATCAATAATATTTATCATTAGTTGTAGTTTTTCTAATAAAAACATATTTGGTTTATCTAAAAACTATTTTAAAAACATTATTCATGACCGATGAAGATACTAAATCAGGTCTAAGATAATATTTGTAATAATTTATCAAAAGTGATTTTAAATTTTTCAATACACATAATTACTTTTAAAATATTTATAAAACCCATTTCTAATTTATGTCTTTATTAATTTTAAAAAATAGAAACAAAAATAGATTTTAGAAATATTGGGATACGCTATTTTAGTCATGAGCTACATTATTATGATTAAGTAAAACATATTTTTAATTTTTTCTTAAATTTCAAATTATCTCATTAAAAAATTCTAAAAAATTTAAATTTTTTCAATATATTTTGTAAATACACTCAATTCTTAATTATAATATACATGTATCTACCTTTGCTTTAAACTCTAGTTTATAATTTAAAATAAAAGTTTGCAAACACCTCAAGGTGAAGAAAGGGGTTGCTTAGCAGGGGGTTTTAAAACCAACCACCAGCCAAAAAAAATAAAAAATAAAATGGGTGTTGGTGTAATTTGAAAATCTTCCAAGCCCAATTCTGCAATAACCAAGAAAAATAATTCCATGGAATTTGACTTTATGTTCGCTGGTGACAAAAAATTTCTAGGAAGTCGCACCGTTCTTGTAATGTTTGATCTGAAATGCAAAATCCAAAGCGTACGGTTGAGATGACGAGGATGACCTACCGGACCAACCGCCACCGTCGACGTTCCGTTGTTGTTCAAGTCATTTATTTTGAAAATTGTAGTAACTGAAATAACTTAATTTTATATTAAACCCCCAGCTAACGTCTGCATTAAGCTTTGTGAATATTCGATAATTACTTAGATATTTAGTTTACTAGATTTCAATAACGTCGTCCCGCCGGCTCGTTTAAGTGTTATTATTGTAATTTTTTACCTAGCTAGGGAGTGAATTGTCTTTATTTTTTACCAATAATTTTGATTAAAAACAAAATTTGGTTTTAATAAAATCATTATTGAAGGGGGAAAAATTGAAAAGCTAAAGCACATGTATTATAAAAATTGGAATCATATTTCTGATTTTTGAACGCGAAAGTCACCAAAGACGAAAAAAATAGGGGAAAAAAAGAAAAAGGCGCGAAACAAAAAATGTTGTGGCATTATTCCGTTGCCGGGAATCGAACCCGGGTCTTTCGGGTGAGAGCCGAATATCCTAACCGACTAGACTACAACGGATTTGCTGAGCCGTATTCTAAAATTTATTAAAATAGTAAATATGCTAATAAACCCTTAATTTAAACGACCGCGGAGAAAGTGATCGAGTCTGCAAACCGCGAAAGGGTTGGAGGTCCATGGGGGTGCACCATATTCGAACCCTACCCGGGAGCTTTGCTTCATTCTCTGCTCTGTCGCGGAGGTTCCGAAACTTCTCATCTTCTTCTTTGGCCACTGAAAGCCCTAGAAAATGGAGATTTTTCTCTGACGAGTCGGAGGATAGCGGGAGTTCGGTGTACCGTCACGCGCTCAAGTTCCAGCCCCCCTCCACCATCAAATGGACAAAATCGTTGTGCAACTCCGTCAGCTTCATCGGAACTGTCGACCGTCCTCTCGAGCGAATAAAGTGTGCGAAGGATCGGTTTGGTGCTTACACTTTACTCAGAGTGGAAACTTTCCACAATTCCAGAGGTTTCTTCAAGTAAGCATCTAATCATGCTTCAGCCTTTTCAGCCTAACGATTCATTTTATATAGTCAAACAACCTTGCACTATTTTCCTTGCATTTTAATACTAGGGGGAAACCAAAGACTTAAAAACTCTGTTGGTGTTTACCTTTTACGGGAATGGAACCATTTGGTTATTTTGCTAGCTTGATTATGCTATCCTGTATTAATGGAGACGCTTGCATGGTTTTTCTTAATTTTATCCTGGCCTTAATAGACTTTTACCTTACCGGTTCAAATTTGGCCATTGGAATAGAGAGCTGATTGCGAGTCTTGACAACAGTGCTTTGATGGTTTAGATATAAACTTAAAGGCTTTGCTTCAAAAGGGGGCAAAACAAAGAGGAAAGAAAAAGGAGTTATTGGTGACTAAAAAGGGAGGCAGCAATAAAGTTCTTATACCCTGCAAGAGGAAATTCAAAAGAAAGCCTTTTCTTTTTATTCATTTATTTTTTTGGTCTCATTGGATTGTAACTAATCTCTGCCTTTA